TTCCTCTTGCCACAAAATCTTCCAGCAGCCCACTTGCATCTGGACCCAGCGCTTCCTTTTGCACATCCTGCACTGGACAATGCATCTTGGCTTCTATCTTGTTTTGGATCTCATTTGCCCTTCCATTAGCAAGAATTTTATTTCTGCTATTCCCTTCACAATTCCTTTGCCATACCACAAGTTTTTTTTTTCTCTTCTTCATCATTTATATTAGCAGACAGACATGCTCTCACACCATTTAAAAATGACTTTTTTTTTTTAATCTCATGTGTTTCCTTTCCTACTGTCTCATTTTGTGGTCATCTTACAGTGAAGGGGTTGTGTTTTTTTTGAGATTTGAATTTCTATATCATCTATTTCATATTCCTGTCTAATCCCACTCCAACAGAGGTGCTAACTCCAGCCAACACATCATTAAAATATAAGATCCCCAGTGAGTTTCATCTGAACAGCTACAATTTCAAATCTCCATTCTTTCCCTTATTCTACATCTCCTTGGCACTGCTGATACAATTAATTTTCTCATCTTCTTTGAAATATTTTCTTCTTTAGGCTGACAGTTTTCTGGTTATCTTCTATATCACAGATTTCTCTTCATTACTTTTTTCTTGAAAATCAAGGAGGCCTCTTTGATTCCATTATTTTCTTCATATCCAATATCTGACTGGCCAATAGGTTTAGTCAGCATTTGTTCAACACACATCCTAAGCCAAATGACTTATCATCATCCTTATTCCTATAATCCTAGGTCAAGTCACTGTCATCTCTTACTAAACAACTAAAATACACATTTTCCTTCATTGGAAGAAGTCTGGACAAAGCAAACCACATTAGCCTTGTGTAAGCATGAATCTAATAACAGTATTTTCTTGCTTAGTTAAAATCCATGTTAGGTTTCAACAAGTTAAAATACACCTACTCTACCATGTCCTGAAGGGTTCTCTGGTAATTATACTGAATATCTAATATGAGCTAGATATAGTTAAGCATTGGAAAGATATTGGTGAATGAAATTAAAATATTTCTGTGGCTTATGCTCTAATCCAAAGGCAGAAATAGAGAGAAAATTCATTTGGCTCTCTGAGGGAAAGAGATCTTCAAAGAGAGGCACATCACTGGAAGGGACCTAACATGGGAGTGAGTTGTGAAATGGCCAGGAGCCAGTGTATTCCAGTGGAATGAGCAAGTGGGATGGTTGTAGGCGTGTATTAGTCAGGGTTCTCTAGAGGAACAGAATCAACAGGAAGTATAATTATAAAAAGGGGATTTATTAGGTTGAATTATGCAACCAGAAGTTGGATAGTCCACAATGGCCATCTACAGGTTGGAGAGCTGGAAGAACCAGTAGCTTCACAGTCCAAGAGGCTGAAGCTCCAGAACAAGAGGGATCAATGGTGCCACTCTAGGTCGAGATCAAAGGCTTCTGGAGAATCACTGGCAGGGTCCACTTTGGAAGCATGAAGAAGAAGAGTCCAACATTATTTGAAGATTGCAGCAGCAATCAAAAACCCATTCAAGAAGAATCAAGCTTGCATCTGCTGCTGCTTCCTTGTTCTTCCAATTTTTATTGCATCCAAGCCATCATCCTATTAAACCGTGCTGGCAAAACTTAGGGAAGGTCTCCAACTCAGTTGGCTATTCCACATGCAGATCATTCCTAGACACACCCTCACTGACACAGCCATAAACCTCTTAATCCTGGGCATCTCCTAATCCAATCAAGTTGAAAATTAAAATTAACCATTACAAAGAGACAAGGTCAGAGTGATAATAGCAATGGAGGTGTGTGAGATGTAAAATGTAGGACATGGTTGCCATGTTGAGAGCTTTATTTTTTTTAATCTGAGTGAGGTGAAAAGAGAGGTTTTGAGCAGAAACTCAAACATTTTGAAACAGAATTAGCCTGGGGCCCTTTGCTAAAAATCAACAAAAGGAGTAAAGTTGAGATATTAAATAAACTGTTACAATAATCCCCTTGAGAGGTTACAGTGGCTTGGGTCAGGGTGTAACAAGGAAGGTGGTCTGAGGTGGTCAGATGTTGGGTACATTTTGAGGGTAAAGTCAGGATTTACTGACACTGTGGGATATAAGAGGAAAGAAAGGGTCAAAGATGATGCCGTCATTTCTGGTCTGAGTAATTAGAAGAATTGAGGTGCCATTAATTGTATTGGGGGAGATACAGGAAGGGCAGCTTACTAGGTTATGGCAGAAGCTGGATTTCAACCATGTTATTTTAGAAATACATAAATAGTAATCCGGTCACTGTCCAATTTTCTGATAAGCCTGCAACCCCAGAGACACCCTTCCTTTCAGCTTTACAGCAAGACATCCAGCTAAGCAGCACCTTGATTCCTGACACACAGAACTGTGAGACGATAAATTGTGTTGTTTGAAGCTGTTAAGTTTGTGCTAATATCATTACACAGAAAAAGAGAACAAATACAGCAAATGTGTGGTGCCATTGTGTGATTTATCAAAGGATTTTATTGTTTTAAAGAGTGACCTCTTCAGTACATTCAAAATGTGATTTTATTTATCAGAGTCAAATTTAAAATTTATCAGAATAACACATATGGTATAAGGTGAGGTATTTTTTTTGTATGATCTAGACTTCAGGATATGCATATTTTTTTCTTTGGAAATTTGTATTTTATTCATTCCCCACCCCCCATTTTTATCCTTTTTTTGAAAGGACATGTAGTTCTGTAAGCCTGATTTTTAAATCTTGCACATCTCATACTGGTTTAGTGGAGGGTAGTTAAAAGTATAGAATTGACATGAAGAATTATTTCTACCAGAAAATTTGGAGAAATGCAGATTTGAATTTTTATGATACTAAAATATTTTGGAATATGCACATGTGAATAAGGTGAGAACATTGCTGTTTATATATGTTGGACAATTCATGAAAGTCAAGTGATTGGAAATTGTGGTTGTTTTGAAGTCTCAGGAAATCTGCTACTCTTAGTCTTGCTGATAAAAAAAAAAAAAAAGTTATGAGGACAAATGATGCTCGGGCTGGTGCAGGCTGCTGTATCCTGCCAGAAAGAAAGGATCTGCAATCTCAGCATTCTCAGAGATACTGGAGGCTGCCACAGGTAGAGTTTGTTTTTTTGCTTACTGTGTGTTTCAGTGTTCTTTCACGAAACACACAAGTGAGTTTTTAAGCATATAAATAGAACAAAAACCACTGACTACCACCATCAGTCAATTCAACTTTCTTGCCATAATTATGGTAAACTGTTAAGCTGACAATCTTGCAACTTGTACTTTCATCTGCTTTTTGTTGCACCAATTTTGCCAATACCTTGAGGTCCTCTTATCCAAATTTTGTTTTTGCATAAATTGTCACTCTTCACCTTTTAAATGATACATAAATTTCAAAATTCTATTTCCAAACGGAAACAAAGAATTATGGCTAAAATAGGAAGCCAAAAGCCTTTGTTTGAATTCAGAGGGCATGCTCAAAATCATACCAGGTCAAATGTTATGAGAGAGCTCCCCCACAGTTCACAAGAGAGTGCAGGTAGGAGCATCCCTCAACCCAGTGGAGAATCAGTGGCCATGGGGTGGTTGATCATAAAACAGAGGATGCTTAATTAAAACGTTGTTTTAAATTTGGGTGGAGATGCATAGAAGACAGAATCTCACAAGGAAGTCCACAGCACAATTTTCATGAAGCATGTGCTTTAAAAATTAGGAATGTTAATTTGAAATAAAATAGCTATAACTGAAAACAGATTAATATTGATTAGTACCATACCATAAGAAGTACCACTAAATAAACCATTTTTAAGAATGTTTTGAAGTCTAGGTTACAACGCTCAGCAGATCAACTACTGCAATTCTTCCAGGTTCCTTTCTCTAAAAAAGAGACCATTGGATGAAACCTTGAATCTGATTTGAGTCTCAAGTGGCTGCCATCCTGAAAGAAGACAATTAATACATGGCATTTTTATATGATACATTTTGATGTGCTCAACAAATAAATTTTAACAGCTGGCTCAGGGGCCAGGGTTCTTTTCATTACAGATGGCCAAAGCATGGGCATGAATAATATGTTTGTTTTATTGGTCTTAGGCTACTGTATTTATAATGACATTATCTCTGAAGATGTCAACTTGAAAAGGACTTCTGGCAAAATCACTGGCGAAGACATGCTCAACAAGATATATGGGGTATTTAGTAGGCACTGTATCAATTACAAAAAAAAAAAATGCATGGCCATGTGCACAGATGGAGAAAAGTCTGGGAAGGAGGGCAAAGCTGAGAAGAGGAATACCTCACACCCAGGCTGTCCATGTACCCAGGAGAAAGACTGGCAACCACCAGATATTTTTCCAAGACACCTCACCTGAGAAAGTTTGCCACTTTTCAGTGTGTTCAATTGGGAGTGTGAGAACCTAAGATTATGAGTTTTGTTTAAAAATGTTTGCTTAAAATTCTCATCTTTTGAAAAACAAATTTGTCAGGAAACCTGAAATGTCTTTGAAAACTGGCTGTAATGCACAGATGTAATCTGACTAAGCCAAAGGAAAATGTTTATCAGAATTTATTTTTTCAAAATGAACCTCAGGAGTATAATACTGGTGAATCATCAGCCCTCTTCATCACCATACTGTCATTCTTAATTTGCCCATAAACCACTTTTATGTTGTTTAGTTAAGAATATACTTTAATAATATGATGAACATCTATGATCTCACCACCTAATACAGGAACTAACCATTGATTGCCTTCATCTACCAATGAACTTTTCTCTAGCCCATTACCCTCTTGCCTCCTCAATATCCTGAATTTTGTTGAGGCTTTGTTTTAAAAATCAATCAGTCAATAAATAAACACATAAACATGCATGTTTAAAGCATAGCAATTTGGTTTAGTTGTTTGTCCCATTTACAGAAATGTTTTTATATTATACAGTCTTCTGGATACTTGCTTTCCTTCACTAATTTCTGTCATTTAGTTATAGCTTGATTTCATGATGATATAACATTTCATTGTGTAAACAAAGCATGATTTATTATCCATTCTCCTCCTGACATACTAGGTAGGGTAAGAATATTGCTGTTATAAAAGTTTTATCTATATATCACCTGTTGTTTATGTGCAAAAAAAATTTTTTTGGAGTTTATACATTAGAGTAGAATTACTAGGATTAAAGGGCATGTAAATGTTTAACAGAACCACAACAACAAAAGACATCAAATTATTTTCAAAAGTGATCATATCTGTTCATCCTACTGCCCTCCATGTGCATTAGGTCAATTTACATTCTTTTCAGTACTTTATATGAGTTCACTGCTTCTTTCCTCTCTCCCCTCCACTCTGTTGTTGAACTCACTGTTGAGTTTTATATTTGGGGTTTTGTATTTTATAATTGTAAAATATCCTTTCGTTATCTTTCTGTCTTATATTTATTTGATGAGACTCTGGGTTTTGTTCCAAGTGTTTTGTAATTACTTGCTGAGGCACTGTTATGATGGCTGCTTTAAAATCCCTGTCAGATAATTCTAACATTTAATATCTCAACACCTTAATGTCAGTGAGATCATGGAAGCCCGTGGGCTTCCATGCTCACCTGACAGTACGGAGGTACATTCACTGGAGTGGTATCAGAGGAGGCCTGGTGAGACATGAAAAAATCATCCCCACTCAACAGCAGTAAGGAGAACCACTCTTGGGGTGCCATGGAAACTGAGCAGGAACTTGGACATATACTCCCACCCGGCAGTAATAAAGTTGTATTCCTCTTTCCCTGCAAGAGAGGTATCAGAAGAAGCCAGTTAATAATAGAAAGGTTAAAAAATATCCAGTTTCTTAATACCAAACATCCAGGTTTCAATAGGAAATAATTTAGGAAACTACGAACCGGAAAGAACCAATTACACTTTAAAAGACCATCAATAAACACCAAAAATAAATCTCCAACCAGATACCAAGACAATTAATTGTTTTTCTAACAAATGATGTGGAAACAATTGGATGTCCACACATAGAAAATGAATTTGGACCACTTTCTTACCCCCTATACAACTTAAAATAGATTAAAGGTCTGAATGTAAGAAATAAAACTATATAAATCTTAGAAGAAAATCTATAGGTAAATCTTTTGGAGCTTTCACTGGGCAACCATTTCTTAAATGTGACACCAAAGGTATAAAAAAAAACAAAGAAAAAAAATAAATTGAATTTTGTCAAAATTTAAGAATTTTATACTTCGACAACATACTTTATATACAACCAGAGATAAGAAAAATTGTGCTGTATAATTGTAATAAGAATTGTAATGCATGACACTGTCATTTATTTTTTAAAAAAATCAATAAAAAAAGAATATTAAAAAGTAAGAAAAAGACAATCTAAAGAGTAGAAGAGAGCTGGGTATGAAACTCAGTTGCAGAATTCTTACCAGTTTATACAAGGCCCTGGGTTCAATTCCCAGAACTGCAAGAAGAAAATATTTGAACATCATATATCTGACGAGGGTTTAGTATAAACTATATAAAGACAATGAATCTACTTAAGGTATGATCAAAGACTTTGAATAGTTATATCTAGGAAAGAACATTTATAAATAGCCCATAAACAAATAAAACTGCTCTTCACATTAGTCATTAGGGAAACACAAATCAAAACCACAATGAAGGGTACTTCATACCCATTATGATGGTTGAAATGAAAAAGGCAGATTAATAAACGGTGAGGATATGGAGAAATGTAAACATTGCTCACGGTGACAAAAGTTGGTCTGAACACACCACTGTAACAAACAGTTTGGCAATGTCTCAAAAAGTTAAAGTTACCTTATGACCCAACAGTTCCTTTCCTACATTTTTACTAAAGAAAATTGAAAATACATCTCCACACAAAAACTTGTGCACCACTGTTCATAGCATCATTATCCTTAATGGTCAAAATATGGATGCATTTCTCTCCCTTGTTTTTTTTTTTCCCCTTTCCCTTCACTTCCTCTTATATGTAATTTTGTATAACAATGAGGGTTTCCTTCCATTTCCATGCAATTTCCCTTCTCTCTCCCTTTCCCTCCCATCTCTCATCCC